TCAATCATGCATTAGTCTATGAAGTATTTTATTGTTATTTCTAATACAGCTTTTTTAAATGTTCATAGAAAATGCAAAAGCTATAAACCCCACACACTTTCAATGAATGGTTGCAATAGCAAGTTTATTCATGTTTCTAAAATGCTCAGTGAGAGCTGCACTAGGATAGCTTGTGTAGTCTGAAGCACTACTAATTCAATGTAAAAAACAGGTGGCAACTTCTCTACTAAGGAAATAGTCTGGTTTTGTACACCTCATTTGTTCAACTGGGTATAAGCCACTTTTCTCATGTTGCTGTGACATTTCATACTAAAAAAAGCTACTTAACACACAGAAAAGGCATGACCCAGCCACTATCAGATTAGCAAAGGCAGTGTGGGGACATCTAACCCACAAAGGCCCATCACTCTGAGGGGAAGAGGCAAGAATTTCTGAAATTGATAGAACTCACCCATGGGATTTTAGAACTGCAGCTTTGATCTTGATATGAAAGAAATCCCAACCAGGCTTTAAGATGCAATGTGAGCCACTGAAGTAGCTATCAGGGACCTAAAACCATTTTGGCTTATGGCTCAAATACAAGAGAAATAATCTGATTAACAACATTTGAAATAAGGGTTTGTGTTCTTGACTGTACAGTCATTTCTCTCAGAATTTTGAATAAGGATGAAACTTACTAACTGGTAGACTGCTTCCATGCTAATATTCCCAAATCAGACACCCTCCTCAAGTCACTGCTTGTAAAATGGCAGCAGCATTTCCCTGTACCTCAAATCAGTATTGCCCAGGTTCATGAATGAGTGCATTGAAACACAGGCAAGGATCATGAATTGAGAGAACCTATTAGTAGACAACAGTTGCTGGAGGTGGGTGCTTTGAACTAGATCTCAGAATTATTCCATTTTTGCACAGAAAAGCACATCTCAAACCGGATCACTTTCCCATGTAGTTCAGAGCTCAGCTGCAAGCTATGCCAAGACCACCAAGGGCAGGAAGGAATCTCTTATCCTGGTGTCAGCTCCAAATTCTGTCTATGACACCAGAACGATGTCAGAAGCTGCACAGTTCCATCCCTTATCTGCTTTAAGGCTTTAAGCCAATGCAACCTACAGCTGACCAGCAAAGCCTGGAATGTGGGAAATCTCAAGCGTAAACAAGATTTTTTTTCTCTCCCTAAAGCTTTCTTTTAAATGAATAATGCCTCAGTTTTTAAGGGGTTAGCAACACTAGCCATACAAGGGCAGTGGATGTAAGCAACAGTGGTGCAGAGCACCGACTACCAGAGTCGCCCTATGAAAATTATTTTCACAGCAGTGTTTCTGTTTTCAACCCAATATTCCTCTTCAGCAACACACTATTGAAAATGGCTCTGTGGTACCACAGGATGGCTGGTCTCTTGTCTGCTGCAGACATCAGGTGCAAGTGTAAATAAGGATTATACAAATGGGAGGTCGTTAAAAGTCTGGTAATGCTAATTTGGCATGACACCCCTAATGGGTTATATCTTCACACTTCAGTTATCTAATCACCTAAATTCTTTAAACAAATTTACATTTCATCTTATACATGGAGATTCAAATTGAGTTGTTTAATTCTCCCTCCACCCAAACTGTACCCATGCTCAGTTCATCTTACATATTAAATATCATCATCAATTTTGAAATCATCATCAACTACAGATACACACAAATAATACAACTGCACATGTCTATATACTTATGCATACAAAATACCCTGTCTCTAAATATCTTTTCATTTTTCATAAACTCTTCAGATCTCAGGAGGGTGACAAATACACATATGCATCACTAGAAATAGCATCTCAGCTTGAAATTTACCTTGCTGGTAGCATACTTTCACTTTCATAAGAGAAGTGAAAGTGAGTAAAGTGACTTTTAAATCAATAATTTAAATGTCACATTTCAATCCATTTCCACAGTCATGTTTTACAACTTTGTTTTCCTATTTAGCATGAAAAGTTAATTTGAGCAGCTGTTCACCTCTCCTGGTTTGTTCAGGAAAAGTAACAACAAGGAGGAAAAAAAGAACTTTAACCTGTTCACACCTTAAAATCTCGGTGTTATGTAGAAGTTACAGGAAAGGTTTAATGCTCCAGTTAGAACATTTCACTCAGAGAGGTGGCTGCCTAATACAGCTAACTCTTGATGACAACTTGCTACTATGAAATAAATATATTCTTGTATATTTTAATATGATAATTCACTTTTCTAAATGTGCCAGTGATGCTTATTTTGGTTTTGCTTATTAAGAACACACACAGAACAGAATCCTGTAAAGCAAATATAGTTCTCAGTTTTCCTCACGCACACCCAAAATAATTACACCGAAGTCAGTTGATTTATGCAATAGTTATGTATCAGCTTCTGAAACATATTTTGAGTTAGTATCTGACCAGTTGGTCCAAGAAAGCACTTAAGTACACAAAACCAGAAGAAAGTACATGCTTCATGAGATTGCCTGAATGCACCTCAGGAGTTCTAAATTCTTTTCATGCTCTTTCCTGAACTGGGAGATTACATAACTTTAAATGGCAGCAAGAAAAGCTGAATTGCCTTCAGGAACATCAAGAATAGTTCATTTTTTTCAAAATGCTATTTTTAACAAATACATCAGATAAAGAACAGCCAAGTGTGACCATCAGCTCCTACATAACTACATGTATACAAAATGAGAGAGAGGTTTTGTTTTCTGCTTGATTGGCTTCTTCACAATAATATATTTTCCTATCAGCAATACTTTAAATACAAATTAAGGATTTCTTAATCCATTTTATATAGATTTTTAAAATATTCTTGAGAGTAGGCTTGTTCTTTTATCCTTTTCCATGAGGAGGAATTAAAATAGCAACAAAGTATTGTGTTAGTGTTATACAAAGGGTGCTAAGATGCTTGCTTTTGTAAAAATGTGTGTCCATGAGGAAGACAGGGGATGAAAGAGAGAGTGAAGAGATGAATTTCACTTCCAGTGGAAGTTAACAAGTATAAACAGAACTTTTGCATGTTAGGATTCATCACACTGCTGTTAAAGATAGGAAAAAAAAAGTTCCAGTGCCTAGAATTACTAAGAAAATATCAGTTTTGGCACAAGGAATACTGCCAAAGGAAGGTAAAAAAACCCAAACAAAGCTCTGTTATAATCTCATTTACTCATTCATTTACTAACACTGTCAGTGTTTTCTGACTCTTTCATTAACTATGTATAGATAAGAAGCTTTTCATAACTGTCTGGAAGGCTGCTACCTCTCTTTTCCTCCATTATTTTACTTTTTGAAAGTCCCACTGTTAGCAACAGAACTTACTCAGTATTTATAGCAAGACTGAGGTAGTTGGAATAGCCAACATATACTGGTATAATACAGAATTTTATTTCCATGAACAAAAAAATTAAAAACTGCCCAGTTCCTGAGTTTACGTCCTACAGCCCTTCACCACTGTTCTGTGTTCTTGTTTAGACACACACGTCCACTTCTCATTTCACTATCTCAATACTCCAGTTGTACTTCATCTTTCCCAACTCTTGTTTGGACAAAGTAATTGTCTATGGACTGTTTCAAGTAACACATATGCCAAGAATCATATCAAACTTCATTACAGCTACCTGCTCACCAGGACACTAGTCTATTCTCAGTCCTCTATATAGTAGAAATTTCCACATTTTTTTAAATGCATAGAGGAACAGACACATCTACCTCCTTCAAACAAACTGAAACCAGCCAGTTGGACTTGCTGCAAGTCCCTAGGTGGTTAACACAGAGATACAGATCATCAATGCAGGCCTCACTTCCCATGGTGTCCTGGCAGGTTAAGTCCAGATGAGGTAAATGGACTAAGGTACTAGCAGGACCTCACACCTGGAAACATCCTTGAGCTGACCCCAGCCACTACAGGTTATTATTACTGATCATCTTTTGCTGTCTGTAGCCAAATATGATGGCAGAAGACAGTAAAAAGGTCATTTGAGCTACATCATCTCAGGTTTACACAGGCACACCTCCTTGTTTCAACAAAAAGGAAACATTTGCCTTATACAGGTAATAGCTGCAGCCTGACTTTTATGATGGAAACCACAGGCAAGTTAAAAATAAGCATGAACAGGATTGAAAAAGGCATAACACAGCACCAGCCTTACACAAATACGGAGAAAAGAACCAAGAAACTTATGACAGTGTCCAACTCTCTATGTGATGGCAGCTACCCTCTCCTTCTCTACTACGTACTGAAATCTGAATCTTATACACAATGCTACTCACAGACAAAGCTACAGACACTTAATAAGCTAGATGTACAAAGGAAAAGGAGCAATGCACTGACATTTAATTATTTAAGATGAACTTCCCTCAGTAACTCCCCCCTCTTGATTTCACAAAACCACATTATAAGTGTAACTTTATTTAAAAAAAAAAATCTTTAGAATGCAATAACAGAAGGCAAAATTATGCTTTGTCATCTCGTATGTGCTCAGCAGCTATAATTCTGCACTTGAAGGCTGAAGTCCATTTAACATCTTGTGATAGCAACACCTAAACAAAAAAGCCTTCCTTCTTAGCTGGAAGTTGGCCACCCTATGGGTGGAAGTGGCTGTGAATCTCCAACTCCTATTAATGCAGTTGATAGTACAAAACCTTATCTCACCAGACTGTTACCAATATTTCTAATATTCAGGCTCATTTACAGATTTACTTTGGAATTCCTTCACTCCCACTTAGCACACTTACAAGCACACACAGTGCTGCTTCTGGCTCTAAACTATAGTGCAACATGATGGAATGAAATAAGCTTCTCGTCTCAGTTGCTCTTGCTCCTAGAAAGTATTTGTTTATCTAGAGTGAATCGCTGCTCCCGTATCTATGTAATGACTTCCTCATAGCAGTCAGATTACCCACACCACTGATCACTTTATTATTTCAGAATGGCTGTTTATTTACTTTAGTGCACCAGTAACATGAAGGGATAAGGCTCGTCACAGCTGGGCAAACTCACCATACTCCTTACGCAGGTGGTCTGGAATGTGGGGCTCATAACCTTCCTTCTCAGGGACCTCCACAAATTCATCTTCATCTTCATCCTCATCGTCGTCATCTGAGGCTTTCATCTACAAAGATATTGTGGTTGGGTTTTTTTTGTTTGTTTTTAAGAAGTTAAGACTGCTTTTCATTTCCCTTCACATTGAAAATATTTTAGACATCTTGATAGCCCTCTGAGACCACTCTGTCAAAAGTATTTTCCTAATTATGCATTTAATCTTTATCTAAGATTAGGCCTTTGCTTAACATTTTATCTCTAAAGCCATACTCTATCCTAAGGGCTTCTTTAAAGCCCCTTTTATCCATTAGAACACTCGCAGTTGGTGAAGTCTGAGAAAGTGTGAAGCTATAAAACAAGACCAAAAAAATCTTAAAATAACATCAAGATTTTGACTTCATGAGCAAATAGCCTTATCTCTTTTCCTCTGGTTGATTACTCATTTAGTTCATCCAAATAGTCTGTAGCATGTTAAATAGTATCACAAATTGTTTAAGAGCTCAAAATCAGAGCAGGCAAACAGGAGGGGAAGCTGATGGACTGGCAAGCTAATACTGACCCAAGTAAGAATATCCAGATCTGTATACTACCATTTCAGTGTGTTTCCTCATAACGGCACTAAAAATAGTTTCATATAATCATTTCTTAACTAATTTGGTACATCCTAACCATTCATACCATTAGACTGCACACAGTATGATGGTAAAGACCAACAAAATAGTATTTTTAAATGTGCGCTTGGTCTACATTGCAGTCTGAAATTGAATAGCTACGAGTAGCTGAAAAACAAAAATGGGTTTCCTATCAACTTACCAGGGTTCACATAAGTGGCTTCCTATATGTCATTTCAGCTAGCTACTACTTCATGTGCCAGCAAGTTTTTACTTTTTTTTCTAAGCATGTTCCATACCCGAAAATGAATTTTTACTCTATACTACACATTAACTAAAAGAATCCGTGCCACCTCAGATGCAGCCTGTACCATCAGAACTTTAAAATAGCAAATGCCAACTACCCTAAAAAGGCAGCAATGATAGAGGTTTTATGCTTTATTTCCTTTGCCCACCTTAAGAGTTACATAATTCTTGAAAACAACACCATTATCACATTACTGTATGTTTGCCATGCACTTTTAAAAGTCTAAGAAATAATAAGGGTATCCACTCAAACCAACCTTAATACCGGCTATCACTTTTTTCAACTTCACTGCAGCAAGCCAAAGCAATAGATAAGGAGTGGCATCATTTTTACTATTTTCAGCTGTGTTCTTTACTTCTCTTATTGCACCTGACTTACGTTGATATTCATATCAACTACTCATTGTTACAAGCACCAGAGGATACTGCAGGTATTGCCTGCAGCAGAATTTTCCCAGTTTAATTCACTACTCTAATCTCATGTCACAGTTGCACAGCTGAATTTAAATCATACATATACTCTGAAGCCAAAAAACCTAGGAACCAGTCTTGGTTTATTGAATGTTGTTAAAAATTTTAAATAACAAACAAACAAACAAACAAAATCAGCATTTCCTTTTGGTCAGTATTACTTGTAAGCTGGACTGAATTAATTTCTAAAAGAATATTAATTGATACTAATACACACATTGATACACTTTTAACATATATATAATGCAAGTTAGAAGCATGATTCCTCCTTTTGTTTAAGAAAATTACGTTGATTTAAGAAATCTGCAGTTCCAGCAGAGAAAAAAGAAGAAAAAAAAAAATCACTGTCCTGAAGACTAGATTTACTATTACATTCTTACCAGAGAACATCTGATTAGTCTTCATTTAAAAATAATCACGTTTGGAAGTACCCTGCTGCCAAAGACAGGTAACCACCACAACATAGTCTCATCAGCCTAATTATCACTATCTTGAGAGTTGCCAACTTTCAGGCTACTCTGGAGGATCCTGCACCCTAGCTTAGTTCTTGTTTCCCATTGCAATCATTTTTCCTCATCTAAAGGAAAAAGGAAATCCAGGCCCTACCTGGCATGGCCAAGACAGATACACACTGAACCTGACCTCCACAGCAGAAACCAAAACAGTGTTAATGCAAAGAAAGGGTCAAATATTCGAGCACTGATCACAAACTCACAAAAGCACTAGACATGGAAGAATGTCTGTGTTCAACTACAACTTTTAGAAGACCTCCCCAACGGCCTTTAGAAAAACGTCATCAGGTTTTGTACTCTGCAAAATAGAAGGCTAGAGATTGAAGAAAAACTTGTTTGATTGTATTTTCGTTTCAAAATTCTGCTGGTGGTGTCATCGCTTTTTTATGTTAGCGGCAAATTAATTAAGTTTGGAAAAAACATCCACTCTTATTTCTTTAGCTTGAAGCAGGGTAACAATCATACTTTCCATACTCAGTTTCCATTTCCCATTTAGCCATTAAAAAGATTTTACTACAAAGCTACAACATTACAAGCTACGGATGATCTTTGTCTATAACTTTGTACCATAAAGTATAAGCTGACTAACTTTCACCTTATAAACCAAGAAAAGTAAATTTGGTGGTTTTCCATAGTTTTTACTCAGAAGTAGTCTGTAAACAAAGAAACTGCAACAGGTTTAATTATTGTGAATTGTGAATTAATGTCAAACTAGTCAAAAAATCAGTTTAGACTGAGCATTTAACTTAAATTGCCAGATGATTCCTAAAATATCAGTGGGTATAATACAAGTACTCATGTGCATGGCATATCTGAGAGGACTAGAAAGAATTCAAGAGTACTACTTTTAATTGAAACTTCCAATTTGTTCACATGGTGCTGGAGGCACATAGCTGTCTGTATATTAACATACTAAAATTCACTAATCCTCAACTTGAAAACTGCATTAGAAGCAACTTTGCTGTATTACCTGCATGGTCTAAAACTTTAAAGCACGTGAAAAGCCCGACGGAGAAAAGGCATAATCAGATGCAAATTCACTTTGTTTAGGTACAATCCATGAACTGTGCATTCAAGTACTATAGAAAACATTAATCATAGGAAACTGTAATTTTTGTTATCAGTCTAACACTAATCAAAAGGGAAACCTGTCACTACCGCTGACCTGTGAAACGTCCCAATTATACTCTTCGGAAATGACAGGAGCACTTAACTTCCTCACTGAGTAAATGACGACGATCAATCAAGTTTGAATAACAATGAGCCACGGAGCTGAAAATTATTTTTTGTATAGAATCTACCCAGGAATTTATGAAAGGTGAAAAGCAACCCAAGGTTTTAGGGACATTATGGCTTTCAGCTAGTGCAGCGCATATCAAACACTAAACAGAATTTATGTGTTTTAATTTTCTAAAAGGTAGATGTGGACTTGGTGCTACAATGCATAACATATAATGCCAGATTTTAAATATGGGGGTCATTTTCATAAAATATTATGCTTATTGTTCACACCCTTGAATTTCCCTGGGGTCTTCTATTAAATTTAGATTTCCTGTAAAAAAAATTAACTGCTTAGCTAACTATAAGGAATTAAGCCCCCTTCAAACAGACATGAAGTCTTTATTCTGATATAATCTTTAACAAGATAAATAAGTTATTTTTATATAAACACTATAAAAAACACTAAATATTAAAGTCATCACTGGTGGAAATTCAAAAAGTTGCACAGTAGTAAATAGGTAGTTACATCTCAATTTACTTCATTGCAGTGGTACTTCATCAGAACCATCCCATTTATGCTGTTTTGTTCTGTTCCCTTTTTACCGAAGGGAGGAGAGCTCACAGGCACCATTATGAGTCAGACAAGTATCTTTTTTTTAATTCCACTTTTCAAACATGAAGAAAGCTCCAAAGCAAACTCTACAGACGCAGTATGAAAGTTCAGCCACCTTTACCTACTTTTCCACCATAAACTTTTCCAGTCAGTTAAAAAAAATAAAATCAGCAATCTACAACTAAATTAGAATAAATATTTAAGGCAACAATGAGAGGCAGAATTTGTAAATTATAATTCTTTAGGAATGAGTGGAACAGGTACTTGCAAACAAGAAAAATGAGACTATGATAAAAACAAGCAATATGCCATTTCTAGCGTGCCATATCTGAAGTATAAACTCACATGATAAATACTACAAGGTAAAGCTTTTCTTGTTGTGTACAGAATTAAATACCTCTAATACAACTAAGATAAGTTGTTTGTTTCTCAATAAACTGTCGAAAGATGGGGGAAAAGAGGTCCTGTTCTCAAATCCATTCTCATTATCACTTAATTTGAGGAAAGTCACTAACAGTTTGCATTCTTATCAGAGACAAGGGTGAACTTCTCTGTCACTAGAAGATGGTCCATCTTAAGGGAGACCAAACAGACTCCCAGACACGAGAGAATACTTGTACCACCATTGCTCCTCAAGTTGCATGGAAAGGGGAAGTTTTTTCTGCTCACTGTTAATCTGCTCTATAATTTATCTAAATGAATCAATGCTTTTGCAAAACTACATGGGGTTTTTTAATGTGGTACTATTCCTGACTAGGTATCTCACTGTGAGAGGAAATAGGATTTAGCTAGACAATTTCCAGATTCTTGGGCTGAACTTATTTGCATATGAGAATACAGTAAAAAAATTTCAGAATATACACATGCATTATTTTTATTGTAATCAGTTAGAACAGTGATTCCTCAATTCTCCTAATTTTCATTAAAACTTAAAATAGTGATGACTTTTCCAGCTAGACAAGTGCAATCACACCATTCCTTCCCTAACTCTTTAAAAAAATTTGAAAAAGCAGATGTTTCCTTATCAGTCTCCATCTTATTAAAAATATTGAAAATGTTGGATACCAGTAGAAATGCAACTGTATGTTCTACTTTGGAGTCAACACTCCAAGAGCCTCCACTGTTAGTGTAATTCAGTGCAACCACAGCTCCAGTTAAATGCCTTGTTCATCCATCCCATCCAGTAAAATAAATTGAAAAAAAAACCCCTCCACCCACCACACAACACTTGGAAAGATATAAAGAAAAGCCTTTGGTCCTTTTCCCAGTTTTATACAAAGGGATTGCTACATTCAGTTAAGAGGATTTAAAAACCTGAGCCTCTGCAATCATAATT